AAGGCAAAAAAAAAAAAAAAAAAATATATATATATATTTTTTTTTGCCATATTGCCCAGCTCTATTGCATATTCTCATGATAATTTTCACATTTTTATTTCTTTCAAGTTTAAAGGCAGATTTCTTCTATGTGAAAGTTGTAGAAATCAGACCATTAATTGTGGTTTTAAACTACTCTTTATGGTCAGAGCATGACAAACACTTTAAATTTTTGAATTGCTTACACTTTTCCAGTCATTTTGCCTTAAAAATATCTTAATTTAAAATTTCATTAGTTTTCTTAGAGGTATATTGTTTCAAATCATGAAACAGGTTTGTGTTCCCTGACTTTGATGACTCATATCTTCAGCACCGTTGGCATTGCAGGCTGCAATATTAATAATAACATAACATTTTTTTTTCATCTCTTAGAAATGCACATCTGACAGCAGCTTGAGTTAGGATGCAGATGTAAATTCATGTGCATTATCAAAAACAGTAACATCTGTAAAAATTGTAGCAACCTCATGGTGAAATTTAATTATTCTGACTGTTCGAGTTTTATTAAAATTAACCACTGGTCTTCCATAGTAGCATATATCCAGATCATAACCACAGTTAAAACCACACATATAGCACCTCAAAACCATGATAAAAATATAACTATATGGTCTCTAGTTATTTGTATGAAAAACGGTACTAAATAAAATCAGTATAAATGCACAAATGCTATAGCTTAATAATAAATTTTAAAAATACTGTAATTATATTCCATTACTCATTTAATACATTTCTACATAAATAATATAATAAAATGTGATATGAATATCCCACATTTCTGCCACAATACCATGGTGTGGTTAGTGTTACTACAATAAATCCATAGTAAATAATGTAATTTGTAGATTGAAAAGCCTTCTGACTGTATGATTGCGCAGTGTTTCTCCTGTTTGTCAGCACTGTTTCGTTATCATTTATTGCCCAGCCCTAGTATGAAGCATGAGCGCTAATGCAACAAAGACATTAGTTGAGTCCCAAATGACACACTTTACAATATACTACACTATACACTTCCATATTGTATAAGTCAATGGGGTCTCTATCAACTGTTTGCTTACCCTTATCTTCAAAATTCCTTCTTTTGTGTTCAGTAGAAGAAAGAAACTCATACAGGTTTGGAACAACATGAGGATGAGTAAATGACAGAATTTCCATTTTTGGGTGAACTAACAGACTTCAGTTTTGATGTCATGAGCAGTGGCGTTCCTTACATGCTGCTGATTGCACTGTTTCAGCAGAGTCCTGACCGCTTCCAGTGGACTCTCCTCCTTCTCCTCCACCCGCAGGCTCCTGAGGGCCATCACATCTCCTGGGTTACTGGAGGCCGCCACAATCCCTGGACTGTCAATCATCTTCAGCCTCTTAGTAATATGCACTTCCTGCTTACATCTGTATGGGGGGAAGAATGTTATTGAGGCTGTACCTCAATGCCCTGCGGCAGAAGCGCACTGTGGTATATGAAGCTCAGTGTTGGATTGATTGAAGACTTCATGCTTTGGTCAGTCCAATACAGTTCATCATGCTTCAAATTCACATGTGCAAGGACACAAAATAGTCAGGCTTTACCTGGTCATTCCTCTCTGTACACCAACATGACACACTCGGACTTCCTTCAGACTATTGATGATGCTGCTCTTTCCGACATTAGGGAAACCTGAAGTCAAGACAACCGCAGATGGTTCAATATCAAAATTTTTAATAGAAATGCATAAAAGAGTCAAAATTATTTCAGAGTTGGATTATTTTTTTAGCAATGCTTCATTAGGTTACTGTGGTCCATAAAAATGACAGGAAATCTTACCAACAACACCAACTTTAAGCATGGTCTCTGCATCCTTCTTGTTAGCCAAGTCAGTAAGCGTCTGTAGGAGACAGTCTCTTCCAAAACATGAAGCTGCTCTGCTGTGATCCAGAACTGCATTGATTCCTCTCTGCTTCCTCTGTTGCTGTAAAATAGAGATTATGAGATGACAATATCTGCCGATCTTTGAAATGCCGATCTTTTTGTTGTTGTTGTTTTTCCCCCTATACTAAAGCTTATTAAAAATTAAATCTTGGGTCATAAATCTGGCAGGGCCACCTCAGTGAACTGGCAATAAAAACTGTGAAGCACGATACTGACATAATGTTGCTGCTTACAAAAGTCAAGAAAACTACTTAGTTAACATTGGTACATTTTTATAGATTTTTTTTGTGCAAATGTGGTTTGCTCATATACCCATATGTATTATTTTTTATTGTATATGGGGTCAGTATGTTTTTTTTTTGTCGTTGTTCTCATGAAATTAATACTTTTCTTCAGCAATATACAAAACGTTCCATACTAAATGCTAAGCAGCCCAAGTTTTCAAATGTAAACATTTTAATGTTTTTTTAAGCAGCAAATCAGCATATTAGATTCATTTCTGAAGGATCATGTGGCACTGAAGACTGGAAAATTCAGCTTTGCCATCACAGGAATAAATGACGTTAATGACATAACTGATGACGTAAATGATGTTATTTATACTGTCATAATATTTACCTTCAGCACTGTTTTTAATTATTTCTGTTCAAATAAATGCAGCACTGGTGAGAATAAGAGACTCCTTTCAAAAACATACAATCTTACCGACCCGACTTGAACTTTTAAATAGTAGTATCTAATCGATTCTGGATTGATTAAATAATTTGGGAATGCGCTGCATTATGGAACCGCATAAACATACCACAGTTCTGTCCTGTATCTGCATTGATGCTTTGAAGAGAAAAGTAGGACACTCAGCTTCAAGATACCGGAGCCATTTCTCTACGTTATCTTTAGGAACAAGATCTAGAGAGTAAAAACCGACTTTAATAAGCATTTTCCATCTTGACAACTGGATGACATGAAGCGTAAGGCAATACAAACTGCTCTCTACCTATTTTGTTCAGTATGAACAAGAGTTTTTTCTTTCCCTCGTGTTTCAGGACGGTTTCCTCCAGCTGAGGACAGCGGCAGCCCAGAGGATCTCTGGCATCCAAAACCTCCACTATCACGTCAGATTCCTCAATCACCTGCACAAGAATTCAAACCTGGTCATGCTAGAGATTCATCACAGATTCAGGAGTATATTATCGTCAAGTGCTGGCCACATTATGCTGGATATCCGTTTGTCAACTTGCCTTGTTCAGCTCACAGCATTTGAATGTCTTAGCGCTTTTCTCTTTAATTAGTGCAGCCTTTGCTTCTTTAGCTTTCACCACCTGCAAATTAACAATAAAGTTAGCAGGGTAGCTACAGCCAGTGAGTCACTTCTATAGTAACCATTTCTCCACCTATCTTACCTTTTTAGCTTTCTTGGTTGCAGGTCCGTCTCCGGCACTCTCTGCTTCCTTCTCTTTTTTCCTCTTTGCAGCTCTTTCTTGCTGTTTTACAATCTTGTTTTGCTCTTTCAGAGTTTCAAGCTTTGAGAACAACACACAATGCATTTAGTGCGACGGCGTATGTTTCAGTAACATATATACCAAACACTGTGATGGCCAGTTATTAACTGTGAGGTCCATATGGAAAATGGAAAACTGCAGTTTGATTTCCAGGGTTTTGTGGTGTCTGTGGTTTTGGTGATGATCATACCTCCTGTTTTCTCTGCTCAGCTTCTCGAAGCACTTCCTCTTTAAAAGGAGCACTGTTCGGTACTCCAATATCTTTCTTTGGTTTTCGGCTTATCCCTTTCTTCTTTGCCACTTTCCGTAATTTACGGTTATGCTCCCGAACCTTACAATGGAGAAAGAGAAGGGTGTAATAACAGCCAGAACAATAATAAATAAATAATGATATATTTAGATATTTTTTAAGAGCACTTTAAAGACACACTACCATAATAACAATAATACTGTAATATTGTGAAATTGTTACCATTTTAAATAACTGTTTTAATATGTGTTATTATGCCAGACTTCATCCTATGATGATAATTTGCTGCTTAAGAAACATTTATCATCATTATATTTGTGGAAAAAGTGATGCATTTTTTCAGGGTTCTTTGATAAATATTCAGAATAGCGGCATTTATTTTAAATATAAATCTTTTGTAACAATGCAAAAGTCTTTACTTCCACTTTTGATCAATTTAATGCATCCTTGCTGAAAAATAAATAAAGTCTTGGGAAAAAAAAAAAATCTTACTGTCCCCAAATTTTGCGTGGTTGAGTACATAAGCATAACAGTGTAAGACAGGGATGCACAATATATCAAAACCACATTTGATATTGATTTATATTACAGATATTTTAATAAACTGTTATCATATATTTAATTGTGCATGCATACTTATTTCCAAGTCATATTTGTACAGTTAATTTACTTAGTGCATGCAGTGCAATACAGTTACAGTAACAATTTACTAACACTGTTAAATGTAAACTAATGTAAAATGTTTACATTTAAAAATTACGTTAAATGTAATGAATCTCAAATTATTTTATACATACAGTACTAGAGCCCAACTGATATGGGTTTTTTGGGGCCGATACCGATATTAGGGAGTAAAAAATGGCAGATATCGATATATCGGTCGATATTCTTTGTGTATATTATAGTACAGTACCAGTCAAAAGTTTGGACTCTTTCCAATACGTGTATCCAAACTTTTTACTGGTACTATATATAGAATACAGTATATACATAAACAGAATATATATATACATAAACACATTTTTTGCAATGATCACTCAAATGTGATGATCAAACACTTATAATGACGTGACAAAGATACGTAATGGAGGTAGGGCATTTAACAATTTAACAACAAACTTTATTCTCCAAAATGAGTCTGACATCAGTGCACTGAACAGTAAAGTTTAAGTTTATTCAGCTTTAATTCAATTCAATTCAACTTTATTCCGTTGAAATGTATTTCACTTTGGAACATTCATTCACGGATTTGCGCTACTGTCTTCACACACAGACGAAACTTACTAGAGAATTCGCTGATACCGATATATCGGCGACAGGCTCATATCGGCAAAACGATATATCGGTCGGGCTCTATACAGTACATCATAAAGCTATAATGCCTTTTGTAGAATTAGAAATAATTAATTTTCCTATTTTATTTTTTATTTATTTAGGCAAAATAGTACTAAATTTGAATACTGACAATAATACGAAAATAATAATGTTGCCAATGACACCTTTGACCTATTAATATAACCCATAATTTTAACATTGGCACATCCCCAATAATAGACAAACACGAACTACATATAAGTATCTTACAAAACAGTAACACATTGAAAATGGAACATGGAAAAACTAATAATACAGTTGCTGAAAATTGTTTTTAGCAGTATGAAAAGGGTAATGCATCACATTGAAACTTGGATACACAATACATATCACACACACACGTGTATATATATATATATATATAATTAGGTATTTGGTATTAAAGGAGTCATATGATGCGCGTTGTGAAAGCGAAACTACTTTGTTTGGTCTTCCAAAAGAGGACGATATCCGCTTCGTCATGCCTGGAACTGATCCGTGCTGGTCGCTGAGGGAATACATCAACTTTCACCGTGGACGAAGCGGAGTCCAGCCCGCCTCAGCTCACTCTATCCTGGCCTCAGCGCATGCAAAGCCGGGGCTTCCCCTCACGCTAGGCCACTGTGTTTTTCGTTGCCACTGATGATTCAAACGCGAGTTTTGGGCAGTGTAGAGTAGCACTTGTTGTTTGTCATTTCTCTGATCACAAATGCAGACAGCGTTTTATGTTTACGCGGCGCGCGTATGACAGTATAAGTCATTATAATCAGTAATTATGTCCCCACTGGATGCAACAAATGCCTCGTTTATAATGGGTTTGA